GAAATAAGCTTTGTAAATATATTAAGCTTTGAAAAAAATAAAATTTTCTATTACAAAAAAAATAATACAAAATGTACAAAAATATTTTTCAAAGATTTTACATCTATGATATAAAATAAAATTAACATATTATAAAATATGTATAAATAATATTTAAAAAGTATAATTAAACTTTATCAAATGCATAACTTCACGAACCCGTCTCATTTACAAAATCTGGATGCTGCGCTGGCATTATTTCGGACTCGATAACGGGTGTATTGTAATTAAAATTACCTACAACTTCACGTGGAACTCCTGTAGAAAAAAAACATATGCGAATGATAGGTAGTCGGAAATAATTAGTACGTAATAAAGAAATGTTTAAAATTATGTTAAAATTACCAATGCCAAAACATTCTCGACTCAAAGAAATATCGTCAATTGCTATATCACTTTTGGAAGAATACCCTCTGGACGCTTCAAATTGCAAGTGGTACCTACAGATATGCGTATTTTATATCGATAAAATTTAATTCTTTATTTTTGAAACGAAAATTAGTTAAATTTTACGTTAAATGTGTATATACATGATTTTTTGTATTTACCTATATTTTATATCAGGTAGAGCAACAGCTTCATTATACCAGATATCGCTATTAGTTCCATACGACCACCATAAGTTTTCGGTATGATTTCCGTGTGGTCTTACTTGGACCAAAAAGAGTCCAAGAGATGCGGCATGTGGACCATGTTTGTGATAGAAAAACCGTACCTAAAAATATAATCCGTTTCTAAAATATTTGTTAAAATAACTGGTACAAATCTTTCACTAAAAGTAGAATAAATTTTTAAATGCAAATGCTATCAAAATAATAATTGTCAAATTAGATTTTCCAGATATAATATATATCATCAAAAAGAAAACGCATTGTGTATTCATATATTATTCATAGTAAACAAAAATAAAATCCAAGTGATATAACCTGAGCAGTAGTAATTTTAATACTTCTTAAAAAAAAATTTGTAAAAAAATAAAATACATTGAATAGTTATTAATGCTTTATCCGCAGATGCAAGATTAAATAATAAATAAATCCTCTCTCTCTCTCTCTCTCTCTCTCTCTCCCTCCCTCCCTCTCTCTCTCTCTCTCTCATATTAGATAAATTAAATCACTTTAATTTTGCTTATTATAATTCATGACTTGACTTTATCGATCTCAGATTTGAGTTGCTTGTTCATTTGATTTAATATCGTTTTTTAAAAATGAATATACATATCGATTCAATACTCCTTTTCAGAAATTTAACCTATATTAATATTATACCTATATTAAATATTACATCTATATAATATATTAGCTAGATTATATCATTAAATAACCGAATAAATATATGAACGTACTTGACATGATTTATAATAAGGACTTTTAGGGTTGCTGGCGTAAGGTGGTGTTGGATTATACAGAGGACTTGTAATGGTGCCTCGACTGCCATATTTCATATCTTTAGAAGCCATGTTTACAAACGCGTACGTTCCTGCCAAATAGGTGACAATTTTATTTTTTTTCTAATGTGTTTTCGCCGCTTGATGTAGTCTCAAGTACATACCGGTTTCATTACGATAAGTATGATCGTAACTGGGTCCAGTTCTTTCTGTCGGCGTAGGACCTTTATGAAGAGTCCAATTTAGAGGTCTTTCAGGAACGTTCGCCCATCCGCACCAACCATCTTCGAAATTACACCTCGCGTTCTTCGGAATCTTGTCTGTGAATATTTTAAATATCCAATTGTATGAATCTACATCTCAAAGATGAAGCATAAAGAATTTTTATGTCACGAGTGCTGATATTCAAAGAAATATAAAGTGACGTTAAGACGTACGCACCACATTCGAGTGCTTCGTCCTCGCCATCAGGGCAATCTTTCGTGAAATCGCAGATACGGGTCCTGTTTAAGCAAGAACCGTTGTTACACCGAAACATATCTTCCGTACAATCTCCAATGGATTCTAAAATAGACACACGAAAGAGTTACCACTTCAATTATAGAACTAATTTTATATATTGCATTAATTTCTTTTAATATAAATTGCCTTTGCAATCGCATAATCTTCTTCAAAATCAAGTATCGCTTATTTATACCTAAAAAGCCTTACAATAATGAATCTTATTTTTCATTTAAATAATTTAATGTATGAATTCCATGTATGAAGAACGCATTATGTAAATTAAACAGAGAGTAAGGTCACTGTATATACAAATGCCACAGTTATCATTAAAGTATACACTAAAAAAAAATGCTGTTGAATCAACAACGTCAGTCTAATTGGGAATAATTTTGTTAATTTAATGACAATATTAATGAAACAAACATATCATACTTCTGTTTCAATAAACAAGTATTTGCCTAAATTATACAGTAGCAGTTGAAAAATTTTCTTATATCAATCATATATTATTATGTAGTTACATTAAACAAATATTTTTTTATTTTAATTACATATGAAATAAAAACTTTTGTAATGCAATTGAATTAGTTTAATCAATTAAATTGAACCTGTTATTAGTTCATTACGTAAAATGATTAATACAAATCAACTATATAATCAATCGACCGCAAACGGTTAATATAAATACTTTTTCAAATTGATTAAAATATAATTTATATCTAACAATTTTTTTATATAATTTATAAATAATTTGTTATATTAAATTTAAATATATTACATGAATCATCAGCATATCTGACTCTTAAATAGAAATTATTTTGTATTGATTACACATCTGCTGGATCAATTGAAATATATAATTATCAATGCATTTATCTAATAATATAGTCAATTTTGTTACAATTAATACGAATATATCTTGTAGTTAATTGAAATATAATTTACTTGATCTAAGAATCTTTTTGTACAATTGTATAAATTATTTATCGTGTATTATACAATATGTTTAAATATTACATGAATCATATATTTTATTTATAGACAAGTAGAAATTGTTTCACATTGATTACACATTTGCTTGACAATCAATACATTTATTCGCAAGATATGATCAGGGCACCTATCATCGATCGGAATTATTCAATTATTTCCTAGATTTTTATTGTGTTTTCTAGAGAAAATTGAATAATTCCTATTGGAATCTATTCCGACTTGTTCCATGATAGATGACCAGAAGGGATCAAATAACATCGAATGCTAAAGTGTTCAAACAAATGATTATAGCTAAGTGTTAGGCCAATATTACATGCATCCATTTTTTGTCGTACAACGAATTATTCAAGCGTGTTAATTAACTGCAAGGCAGAGAGAATCTCAGACCTCTTTGTCCTATAGCCAATCAACAGCTTGAAAAATTTATCATACGACAAAAAACGGGCGCATGTAATATTGGTCTTAGACCGTTATTTTATTTATGCGTTTTTATCGTACGACAAATTTTTCAAGCCTGTTGATTGACTATAGGTTCGATTACCGTTTTTAAAAATTGTAAAATATGCGTTTTTAAAAATTATAAAATACCTGATACATAATTATAATTAATAAACTATATATGAAACTATATAAAATAATTCTACATAAGAATAATAAAGGAAATAAGAACTTATGTAAAAATTAAAAACAATTATTTTTTGAAAAAATATAATATTCGAATCACTTACATTGATTCGAAGTCAAAGTTGAATTTATTTCGGAATTAGTACTACCAAAACAACTTATTAAATTCCTATTATTTTATAATATAGTTCCGTCAACTTTATAAATATTTTATACAACTAAATTCAATATTGATTTAACACAAGGAAACATTCCTTCAATTCAACATGCTTTTAATTTATCATTATATGTCCTTAAGTCAAATCGATATGTTATTGTTACAAATAAAAGAGTAATATTAAGTCAATAACAAATAGAGTTGAATTAACTACTTCCGTTTGTGACAGTCCGTGATACATGCTTTATTTGCATTTACTCAATGTATGTGTCGTTTTATTCATTTAGCAGCATTTTTTTCTCAGTGTAGGCATCATTGATACAACGCGACAATCATAATATTCCATTAATTATTTGAAAATATTTGTATTAATTACCTGGAAAGCAATTAACTAGGCGAAGATTGTCAACGCCGATGCTCGAATTAGGATAGGGTACGTAGACCTCTAAAACTAATTTATAGGACTGATCAATCGCGCGTAATGAAAAACTTATTTTCTTCCATCTAAAACAAACGTTTAAGCATATTTTTTAGATTTATTTTCTGAAAATTTATATTATCACAATATCATAAAAAATATTCTTGTGCATATACATGGAGCTATTATTTCCGCTTTTTGTCACCGCGATGGAACTCATGTTGTTAGTTTGTATGACGAGATTTATGAATCCGATTTCCATTTCCACCATATAAAGTGAAAATTCGATGCGGCAACGCGGACCCGTACGAGGAATCGATTTGGACCATATATGAGCATCCCCTTTGCCGCTGAACCACAGAAAATGGCCTTAAAAGGAGAATGAAACATTAATTAATTTTCGTACAGTTTTACTGTGTCATATGGGGCATCGTAATTATATTTCAATTTTAAAACGATTATAGATTGGATTTTCGCTAATTTTAGTACGATTCTAATATTATATATGTATAGATCAAATTCTCGGTATCACGAATTCATGATCTTAGGATTATATATAATGCATTATTTACTTTAATCTTTTTCTTTATGATAATTTTTCTTTTGACAAATAATGTATTGAAGACTACTCAAAATTTTCGTACCATTCGAGGAATTGTTAGCGTCCGTGTTCGGAAAAGCTCTTGACAGACTGGTGCGCGCTTTGACTTTCTTAAAACCATGGGTATCATTCCACGACCAATCGCAATCCGTGTCGAAGTCGCAATAGCCCATTTGCGGATAGTGAGGTGAGTGTTTTGACGATACAGCTGCCAGAAGATCCTTAAAACTCTTTCCATGCCACATGCTGATCTTAGAGCCGCATGTCACTGTGATGTAACAACAAAACAGGACGATCCCAAACAACAATCTGCCGCTGTCACCATTATATACAGACACATGTCGACGATTACACGTACGACTCGTCTGACTGTAACCCGCGATGGTGGTCGCCAGCTTCGGTCGTCGCGTGTCGTTGATCATTACTTCGCAATTTCGTCCAGTGGCTGTTTAATAATTTCAGACGAGGTCATGCGCAACATCGCGCATTCTGCTTTTCGGAGATAGCAGACATGATTCTACAAACGTAGCTGCTTCTTGATGAGAATTAGAATTTAGAAAGAATTCTGAGAGAGAACGTTGAAAACATACGTTTCAAGAGTACTAGCGACACGCTGTGAGAAATTTACAACGATGAGCGCAGCGAAATGAGTTTTGATATCATGGATCTTCTTGGATATGATCGTCTTCCATTATTTCCCAGACTGAAATCACGCATGCAAGTATTTTGATTTATAAATAATTATATTTAATAAAATTTTAATTTATATATAAATATATAATAATATTATATATTTTATGTGTAAATCAAAATTTTATTAAATTGCAGTATTATGTATATATAATTACAGTATTATGTATATATATATAATAAAATAATAATAATAGTAATACTAATAATACTAATAATTAATTATGTATGCATATAATACAATCATCTTATATGTTTCATACAATGTGATTTTGTTTAAAATAAAATAAAAAAATGACTTGTGTATTTTTTAGAGAAAGGTACATGTGTTATTATTCCATTTCAAATTAAATTTGGATATATTAGTCTTTATGTGCATTCCTATTTCTTTGAATTTTGTGTTAGTCTTTATATGTATCTTATTTCCAATTTTGTAATAGAAAATTTATATTAATTTTGATCAGTTTTTACAATTACATCATATCTAGGAAATATATTTTTTGTAACTATATATCATGTAAGCGCAATATTGTAAATTTATACATTGAAATTCAATATCTAAAATTAAAAAATATTATGTCCATGCTGTCATAACAAAATAGTGAAATGATGCAGCAGAGATTATAGAATTCCGCGAGAGAAAACGAATTAATGAAACGAAGCCGAGAACGCCGGAAATGGAATAATTCATTTCCCGATATTCCTTGATTTCCGGTTTGCGTGCGGGGACGAAGTTATGCCTGTTCGTTGCCATCATCGGTATTTTAGAGACGATCGGTATTTTATGCTATAACGTTTATTAAAAGCGGCCAACGCTAAAATACATTTCCATTTATTTAGTTCTGTATCGATTACGATATCTTTTAGTTTTTCCGAGTGCAGAGAGTACATCTTTTAAAGATGAAAAACAAATATTGTTGATGCATGGATAAATATATTTTATTCGTAAAAAAATCACAAAGCAGAGAGAAGAAATGAAGAGGAAGAGAGAGAGAGAGAGAGAGAGAGAGAGAGAGAGAGAGAAAGATGAGGAAGTTGACATATGTGTATATTTTTACTAATCAGATATTATTTTTAATTTCTGATCCATGAATTTTCTAAGAAAAAAGAAAATCGAAGGATGAAAAGCTGCAAATTTATATTTAACTCCAGTTTCAACTTCAATTAGATACAAGTTTAACTTCTACTTTTGTTTCAGCTTGTTTTAGCTTTAACGCTTTAGTTTCATTTCCGAGCGTAAGCTATTTTTATTTTTAGAAATACTTTTTATATATTATACATATAAAATATAAATAATTACACACATGATAAAAATTTATCAGTCCGACACTGCGACGCGCGACTTGTCGAAACTACGCCTCAAAAATTGCGTAAGGAGTAACAATTTATCCTATTAGATCAATTTCGCCTACACGTACTCTCTCTCTCTCTCTCTCTCTCTCTCTCTCTCTCTCTCTCTCTCTCTCTTCGTTTCTTTAGAGAGCAATGCGATTACTGTTGTCAGAGTGCAGTATTGTCGTAGAATGCGCGGTGGTCTAACGCGCTTTAACCCGCCTTTATCTTACTGATTCTTACAACGACGAGTCGCTCAGAATGGAACGAAAGTTTTTCGAAAATGCATCCGCGCGATTTAATCTAATTTCGACCGAAATTTTTATTCACTTTTCGAATAAAATTAGTGGGACGGCTATTGTCAGTTTATTTTTTTTTCATTTGGTATATCGATTAGATCGTATATCGAACGCCCGCGTTTACCAGCCAATCGCAGAATTCTCGCGACGGGGTAATCACATTCGAATGCCATCGTTAATCTCAAAGAGCTTCGATCAAAACACTCGATGTCATGATTCATCAAGCCGCTTAAGGGGAAAAAAGAAATTCCATTTCAACATGAAAAACGAGAACACGAGGAAATACGCGACTGTAAAAGTGAAGATTCACGAAAATGAAAATTATGGGATAGATCTGGAAGAACTAGAGAACACTCTGATATCTTTCTATTGTACTTGAACTAATAAGCCTGTTCTTTTTGACTAAACTTCGCACAGTTCATCTTTCTTTCTTTTCTCTTCAGGAGGAAAGAAAAGAAAGAAAGAGTGGTGCTAAAGTTCAGCTAAAAAGAACAAGCTTTATGATTCATATGATTTATACATGAGGGAATGAATAACAGCATGAAATATTTAATTAAATCGATATTATATTATTCGTATCATGTTACTATTAATATTTCTTTTAATTAAATAAAAAAATCCTGTATTAAAGCGGATTTTGTGCTTAATTATTTCTGTGTCAATTTATATATAAATTCATATTCTTTTTGCAAACTGCGTGCCGAAATTTTTTTTCGATCTTGAAATGCAATCGTGAGCAGAACCAGAATAGTATTATTATTTATATTAATATCTTATTATTTATATATACAATATATTTCCTTTAAGAAACTTTTTACCTGATGAAAAAATTGTGTACAGTAATGATTCATGATATTTTATTCACGACACATTATTAATTCGAAACTCTCTCGTTTTCTCTCTTTATTTTCCTCTCTTAATTAATTCAACTCTCAACACAAACTCTCTGTCTATCTGCAGAACCACCAAGACACAACGCGATCTAAAATGTACTGCGCGCAGGATATAGTAACAACGATCTGTCTGATCTCGTATCTCGTTAACAGCAATCGAGGAAAGTGTTTTGCTCTCCGTCTTTCCTTCAGTC